ATATATATATATATATATATATATATCAGCCGATTTTTTGCCTCTAAAAATTACTGCAGCTTTCAAAAGACAATTTCACTATTCTTTTTTCACCCACATGTTAATGCTATTTGGCATGTTACAAGGGTACTCAATAATTTCTCTCGTACAAGGATGATGAAACTAATTTAAAATATTTACAATATGTACCCATTAAGTACATGCTTAAAAGATTTTGATTTGATGAAGAATGGAACGATTAGTGGGTGCCAACTTAATTTGAATGCGTTAATTATCCTTAATATCGAGTTATCGGCCTCTCCTGTCATTTACTTTCAAAAAAAAAAAGTAATAAATAAGTTCGATCTGTGCCACATATATAGCAGGCATGAATTAATAAGCAACTGGTTTCAACACGATTTCAATGCAAGCGACGGGGGAGAAAAAAAAAACACAAAAAGAACAAGAAAAAACGAACCGAAACGAGAAACAAATTCCACTTGTATATCTCGAAAGAATAGATGTACATGAAGTTGACAATAATATTCATGAAATCTCTCTTCATTGTCTACCCAATAAATAAATAAAAACTCCATCTGATGAAAAAAAAAAAAACTCTGGAAATCAACATGAATATCTATCTATACAGTATTTTATGTGTATATATATCCAACAACAATCAAGAAACATTTTCTGACTATACCGTCACTCTAATATAAATGAAGTAAATAAGCAACTTAATTATTAACTAAGAATAAAACATGTCGATCGTACCACCTCCTATGAAACCAAATTTAGTATTAAAGAAAAAAAAAATAATAATAAGAAGCAAATTTGTTAAGCAGCTCCGGAAGCTAGCTTAATCTAGACGTGTATAACGTGTTAAATTTCTTTCACAAGTCATCCCAAATAAAGGCTTCAATATCCGAAATAGGACCAACTGATGACGGACCTTCAAAGTCTTGATGATCATGATACGATGACCTGTTGTGGCTGGATCCCATGTCATGCTTCGAAACGACAGACGATATCTCCGTCGTATTGTTGTTCATGTTGTCAGTGCTGAGGCCTGTGTCTTGAGAGAGACTGACCATGGATTGGTTAGACACCGAGAATTGCTCAACCTTGCACTGCCCAGTTATGGTGCTGCTACTACCTATTTGAAAATAACCCGGATTCGAATTTCGTTGAAAAGAAGAATTGTCGTAGGAGGAGCTAGGGATGATTTGGGAGTACAAAATGGGGTTTTGATGAATTGGGTTAATTTGATGTTGATGGTGAAGAACGCTCTTGTTGTTATTTGGGGCAATAAGTGAATAGTAGTTGATAATATGAGATGCTCCTTGTGAAGATGCACTATTGTTGAAGTTTGCTGTCGTAGATCCCTTGAAGTCGGCGGCGTCGTTTTCGCCGTAGTTGGCGGTGGAATTGTAAGGAGGATCGTCGGTGAGAGGAGGGAGGGTGGTGGAACAGTCCAACATGTCGTCGACACCGAGAGAGTTGATTCTGAGGAGGCCTGGAATTGGGGCTAATTTCTTGTTGTTGTTGATTCCCATGTTCTTGTGGAAAACCCTGCACACAACCCATTCATCCTGCAAAAACACACATGAAAATAAATATTTCATTAATTATTAGTTAATGGTTCCTTAAATTTTTGCGAGTTGTTATTAATACATAATTAAAGCAAGAAGGGAAAAAAAAAAGAGAAAGTAAAAGGGAAGGACCCCATGTGAAAACAAACTCTCAACAAACCCATAAAGTAGTACTATTCTAAGAGGGAAAAAAAAGTGTAAAGTAGAGAAAAGCTAGCCATTATGATCGATAAAGATCAAGATCCTCATAGAAAAACCAAAAGAAAAATTATGCTAGTAGAGTAAAAAAAAAAAAAAAAAAAAAAAAACAGCATTTCCCAATTGTTACATGTATGTAGATAATTATATGAAAGAAAATAAAAGGGAAAAAAATATAATTGAGGAGTATACCTTTGCAGACTTGGGAAGGTTGTAGTAGGAGAATTTGCCCTCTAGACGGTATTCGTGCATGACCCAATTAGACTTCTCTCCTTTTGGAGCTCTTCCTCTATAGAAAACAAGAGTCTTCTTCATCCCAACAAGACAACCTTTTCCTTTGTAAATCTCTTTGTCCTTTCCCGTTGCTTTCCAATACCCGGATTCCGTCGCCCGGTTCGTTCTCATCCCGGTCGGATACTTCCGGTCTCTCTGGCAGAAGAAGTACCATTCCTTCTCTCCCATCTTCGCTTTCTCTACATCGATCATAAACAACAAATATGTTTATACAAATTCGAATTCTACCAAAAAAAAAAGAGAAAATTAAACCCGTATCGGGAAAATAAGAAAGAAGGAGAAGAAAATTGGTTATTACTCACTGGGCAAGTCCCAGGGCTCGCACTTGTTCAAATCGGCTTCACCAATTGCACTGGCGGAGAAGTTGCTGTTGATGACTTTCTCAGTGAGATAACACGTTATGATTTCTTCATCTGTGGGATGGAATCGGAAACCCGGAGGTAAATCGATCAGCTCTCGATGATGATGATGATGATCTTCCGATGATCCTTTGTTCTCAACTACGCAACCCTCTTCCATCGATATATTATATGTATGTATCTATTTGTGTGTAATATGTATTGATTAACCTGATCTATTTATAAATAAATATTTTTGCAGGGTTGAAGAATACAACAAAACCCAGTATCCCCAGCCCCAAAACAAGCCTAGCTAGAGAACAATAATTACAAATATGTGGTGATATTTTCGTATTTACAAACCAGAAAGAACTGAAAAAAGAGGGGTTTTTCTGTTTTTTTTTTTTTTTCTGTGTCGGGATATGGAAATTGAGGAGTAAAAGAGAGATTGAGCTGTTAAAGAAAGTAGAAAAAAGGGAAGAGAAGGTGCTTAAATAGAGGAGCTTGTTCAACAGCTCATATTCTTTTCAAGATCCGTGGTCTGCAAGGCACTTACTGAGGAAGCCATATATCAAGGGAGGGGCAAAAATTGTGTTTCTTCTTTATTTCTTTTTTTAATTATTATTATTCTTTTTTTTAAAAAAAAATTAATTATAAATTTTTTATTTTTATTTTTTTAAAATGGGGTTTTGTCCTGTGTGGTGCATCAACCCTCTATATATCTACCTGTTTGAAAACGAATGTGAAGGAGGAGAAAGAAAAGGAAAATAAATAAATAATTAAAAAAGTGGAATGGCTTTGAGCTTTGGCGGGACCCATGTTTTGTGGATTCCTCTTCTTTCACATTAAAATAACATCTTTATCCGCTTGGGAAGTGGGGCACAAACCTAACCTTTTCCTTGGAATTTCATTGAATGTTCCGTCGGTTAAAAATCTCCTTAACAAGTCTCTGTTCAAAACATCCAGAAAATTTCTCACGTTCTTGCCATCAATTTTCATTTTATTTTGAGGACGTTTAGTTGGAGAATTTAAATTATTTTTAATTTACGTGAATTTTTTATGAAAAAAAATACTGTAGTAAATTATTAATCATGATTTAAATCAGGGAACGAATCCCTCTACCAAACATTCTCTCGTCTTATTTTCTAGTTATGCAGTATAATATATATATATTGGAATAATAATGTGGAGAATCATGTAACACGTATAAAAACAAACAAAAGTACTGTATTGATGTTGTTTGTGTTTCGATGACGATCAGAAACATACAAGTATGAATTACCTAAAATAACCTTTTTTCTGTTTGAAAGGGCCAAAAATAACTTTCAAAAAACAAAAAATTACGTACAAAAAATTACTTAAATAACACTTGTGTTGTTAGTATAAATAAAAAACACCGCAGATTAATATATTATTAGGTAAAATTTACTATTGCAATTCTATAGCGGAATAGTATTACATCATCACTATGTAGAATAAATTTCATGTTACATATATTTTTGCATTGATATCAGTATAAAACCGGTTTTTTTTTTAAAAAAAAGATAACACTCAAATAGGTTGATATGTGATTTTATGTGAGAGCTTTTTACTGTAGTAAAAAAGTTAAATGTGATTGTTTCTGAAAGCTTTTTACTGTAATAAATTCAAATTCTAAACTCGAATCGATAAAATAAACGGGGCATAAATATCGTTACGAAAAATTAGTAGTAAGGATTTTTTTTTAAAGACTTACTGTACTTGTAAGTGTTAATTTTTTTCCACGTTAATATTTTTTTTTTAAGAAAAAGAATTTCCACGTCAATACTATTATATAAATTTTATTTTATTTTTGTCATGTATGATCCGGCTTTTTGTGGCGGTCCAATACACGGCTTGGCTTCTGATTTAGCTAGCCGCTCAAAACCGCGTAACGGAATGACTTTTAATATTTATGAACAAAATAGTCACATTGGAAGCACACATGCAACTGCAGAAGTGGAATAAAGGATATTGCAGTGGAAAATGCTTGTCAAAGTTAAAAGGTAAAATACGTGTAAAAGATGGGGTTTTTTTTTTTTTTTAAATACCAATAAAAATATGGATTTTTTTTGTGTTCTCTCTTTTTTAGAAACACTAGTGTTCCCTGATTATTAATCATCAGATCTAATTTAAATCTGATCAAAAGTCAAATCAAATTAAAAAAGTAATACAAATTTAATGACTTATTCAAACGACACTCATTATTTGTGCAATACGTGTTATTTATGTTAAAAATTTTAACATAAGGAGTTATTTTTGTTAATTTTTATATTTTACATGACATTTTTCATTAAGAATTTAACAGAGGAAAAAATTGTAAGAACTACTGAAATTCAAAGAGAAAAAACTAAAATTAAAATTTAGGGGTATTTTATAACAAGGCCTATAGTTCAGAAAGCAACCTTGTCATATGTCTAAAAAAATAGAGGTTGCAGTTATAGTTTAACATTAAGGAACAAAACTCGAACTCAAACATTTAAAATTCAAAAAAAAAAAAAAGCCGCGAGAGAGGATAAATGTAACCCCTAATTTTAAAGTCATAGTTTGATTATGTATTTTAATTAGAAGAACTCTTAAAAGCATAAATGACGTTTTGTTTTTGTCATTTATTAGTAAAATAATAAACATATAAATAAAATACTTACTTTTTTGCTAATCAATAAAATGCTTGAAACTACAAAATATCTTCTCAAATTTTCCTTAAAGCTCTTTGCCAAAAAGATATGTGGATCTGGCAGATTAAAAAAATTCAATACCTTTTTTTTTTTTTGAGAAATATAAATACATCAAAAAGTTTTTCTACGCCAAGAAAATAAAAAAATTGCTTCTGAAAGCCATATTAAAAGGCTCTTCTAGATAGCTAGTCAATTTGAGAACCACTATGATAATCTTGTTAGTTAAAAAGCTGCACTAATTAAAAAGATATCGTGGCTTCTTTTAAAAAAAAAAGAAGAAAAAAGAAAAGAGTTTTTTTTTGGTAGGTTACAAAATAATAGTCTATCACTACTATGTAATTTTTGGTGCTTTTGAACGTCAAACTTTCAAAAATTTCTTTAAATTTACATATTTTATATTCTGATTTGATTTTTATGTTTTTTTCAGATTAAAAGGCACGATATTAAATAGACCTCCTTATCACAAAAATTTTAAAAAGAGATGTTATTTTTAATGAGTCGTCTTACCAATTGTTTTCATTTGTCTGTTTTTGATTCTCTTACCCCTTTGATAGACGATTGTTTGAATTTTTTGTTATTTTTTCATTTTTCTAGTCATCTTATATTATCTTCAATTCGTATTATGAGAAGCACAAGGAAAAAAGAGAGAAAAAAACAACGTGTTAATAGAAGGCGACATTTTATAGTTTTCTATATTTTGCACTCAATACTTTAAAGAAAAGAAAATAAAAAGGAATAAATCAAAGTTGTACTTTACGCCTCTGTTGAGTAATATCTAGTTTAATACAATTACATATTTGCTGAATTTCGTTTTTTTTTCTCTTGTATTTTTGAGTGACACGAATAGATGGAATAATAATGAACCTACGAATAAAACTACGTATGCAGCTTCCAAGAAGTTTCTGCCCAAAAACTTTTGGGAAATTTTAATTAAAAACCTTTTGACGATATAACATATTCACAATAATTAATAAGAAATAGCTCTTCCCTACTAATCTTAGCTGATAGAGTGTTCATCAAATCCCCAGTCAATTAAACATTAATTATAAAATGGGGTCGAATATTGTTTAAAGTCAATTTAATGCACAAAGTTCAGAAATATTGATTTCATCGAAATTCTCTTTTTTTTTTTTCTTTGCCTTTCGGGAAAAGTGAGATTACTTTATGACTTATAATTTATATTAACATGTAAAAAAATGGTTAAAAGAAAAGGGAGAGAGTCGTGAAGAGGCATCCAGTTGATGACTTACTGGAATATAGAACATGCTTTCCAGCTTTGACACTTCTGAATTGGGACATAAAAATTAGTATATTTTTCACCTTTAGGACTCAAAAAAGAAAAAGCAAATAATTCTTCAACTTCTGCGATACTCATTTTTTTCTTCCTCATTCTTTTTTGGTAGAAATAAAAGTTATTAATTCCAGCAAGATAATAATAATAACAAATAATAATAATAATAATAATAATAACAATAATAATAACAGTAATAAGAGTAATAAGAGTAATAGTAATAAGAGTAATTATAGTAATAGTAATAGTAGTAGTACTAGTAGTAATAATGGTAGTAGTAATAATAAAATAATAATAGTCGTAATAATAGTAATAATAATAATAATCATAATCATAATAATAATCACAATTATACTCATAATAATAATCACAATAATAATAATAATAATAATAATAATAATAATAATAAATTGACTAGTAATAGTAGTAGTACTAGTAGTAATAATGGTAGTAGTAATAATAAAATAATAATAGTCGTAATAATAGTAATAATAATAATAATCATCATAATAATAATCATCATAATCATAATAATAATTATAATTATACTCATAATCACAATAATAATAATAATAATAATAATAAATTAACTATAGTCTTTGTGTTTTCTCATTTAGGAATGAGACTACAATAAATCGAACAATAACATTTCAAGTTAAATTTATCAAGAACATGAGGGGTTAAATTATTTCACATGTACCTTACAACTATAGGGTCCTCGAACTTTGACCCGCACGTTCTTTTCTTTTATTTCTTTCTTCTTTTTTTTTTTTTTGGCAGAAAGTGCCATCTTTTCGAAAATTTTCCAGCAGGCAAAAAAAAAAAAAAAACTTTCGAAAATGCATTGAATAGTCCCTCCTTTCAAATTTATCTACCTTTTATCCATATAAAATCGTAAAACAAAAAGAACTTTTAGATAAAAATGACCATGCAACTTTCACGTGTGTTGTCAACTGGGTTCCTCAAAAAATACATGAAAATGGCTATCCCATCAAAGTTTGTCCAATTTTTTGACAAATTGTTCACCATATGTGACCGTTACGTGTGTTCTGATCACCTATGCTCTCCAATTGTGGCGCACGCGTGATGATTATTTGTTGCACTTCTTAAAATCTAAGAGAAATTTGATCACACTAAACAAAGTGCAAACTAATATCAAAATAAAAAGGGTTTTAACACATTTGCTTTATAAATTTATCGTGATTTAATAAATTATTTCCGACATTTTTAATTTTGACAATCAACCCGCTAAATTTGTTCAAATGTTGCAATTAAGCACATTTAAATAACGGTGTTAAATTTTTGGACGGAATTAGTCATATGCATTGAACGTGGGGTTTCAAAAATTAAAAAAAAAGAAGAAAATACTTTAATTTCAAAAATAAATTAAACCATTAAAAAGTCCTAATTTCTGGAAAATTCATTTTCCTTTGCTCTCTTTCGATAACTCTCCTCAAAATCTCTCTTTTTCCTCTTTTATTGCCACTGAAAATATGCAGATCTTGTTTATAGTGTTAAAATTGTTTCTAATCCTGAGTTGCATTTTCCCCCCT